CACAGCAACGTGTGGCAGGGGACAGCTAGTACCTTAATAAGATTAAATAACTACAATCAAATAGAAACACACTTTTAAAATAAACATTTTCTACATAAATAATATAAAAGGTATCTTTCCCATGTTTTGTTCCCCATTTTCTGGCCAACACCACTGTCTGTGAACAAATGTTATTCTGCATGTATGCAACATGCAGAAAACTACATCTCTTAAATGACACTGCCTCTGACAGTACCCTATTCTACAGGAGAAGAAAACTGAAACTATGTTTGAACACCCACACATTTTTTAAAAAACCTTCAAACCAATATTTTAAAGATTTAACAATAAATTATCAAAGTGTAAGGGCTCACAGGTCGCACATCCTGAATACCTCCCACGCAGCTAGAAAATGAAGAATATTAATAGTAGCTAGGTGTAAGAGTTATAGATACCCCGATAATCATTCTCCACCCACAGAATGCCACAGTAAAACAAGTTTTAAAAGAGGAAAGACGTGTGTGTGGATAGAGAATGCTCTGTATGAAATCCCCAACGAATACAGCGAAGTGCTTCTGCAAAAGCACTCTGTTTGAATTAAATGTGAGCCTTCCCAGGTAGAGTCCAGGGGTATGAGGCACTGACTGAAGATAGGAGAGCAGTACACCCAATGGAGGAAATACAACACTGCTGCTTGCACCAAGACCCTGCAGATGTGAAGGTGGCTAAACGGATGAAACTCTGAGTAGTTGAGATTGCTAGGTGAGAAGAGATGGAAAGTGGAAAATTCTCCCACCCCGCCTCAACCTCTTCCTACTAAAATTGAATTCAAACAAGTGAGTAACATATAAAGATAAATATGAAACAAGAGACCAGGTCAATGCAATAAAATCAAGGAGTTAAAGATAAGGAGTTAAAGTGATAGTTAGATTGCATGACAAAAGATTGTATGATGTGTACATGGTGACTAAAATGATAAAAGGTCTGGAGAACAAGCCCTATGAGGAGCGGCTTAAGGAGCTGGGCATGACTAGCCTGAAGAAGAGAAGGCTGAGAGGAGATATGATAGCCATGTATAAATATGTGAGAGGAAGCCACAGGGAGGAGGGAGCAAGCTTGTTTTCTGCTTCCCTGGAGACTAGGACGCGGAACAATGGCTTCAAACTACAAGAGAGGAGATTCCATCTGAACATGAGGAAGAACTTCCTGACTGTGAGAGCCGTTCAGCAGTGGAACTCTCTGCCCCGGAGTGTGGTGGAGGCTCCTTCTTTGGAAGCTTTTAAACAGAGGCTGGATGGCCATCTGTCAGGGGTGATTTGAATGCAATATTCCTGCTTCTTGGCAGGGGGTTGGACTGGATGGCCCATGAGGTCTCTTCCAACTCTTTGATTCTATGATTCTATGATTCTATGTGTACATGGTTATACAGAAAGGAATAAATGAAAAGTTTTAAGAAATGAGAAAATATTAAAAGTATAAGTATAAATCAGCTAGCAGAAATACATAAAACTGTCATTTAGAAAGAAAATGTAATACAATATCAATTCAATTCATGAGAATCAAAAATTCATGGATGTTACTCCAAAAAGCTCACCTCCCAATATTTGTTCTATTGAAGCTGTAAAGAGTTCTTGATGAGTTCAGCAGTGATAACAAGGCAGTAGATAAAACACAGCTACTTTCATGTACTATTTTTTTTAAAAAAATAGTACATCTGAAACTTCACTTAATGATGAGCCATGTTTCCCCAGCTTCCAGTTACCCAAACCAAGAAGCTTCTAAATGTCACACAAAACTAATCATGAGAACAGAAGTGAAGTGGCAAGTCAAACAAGAAGGATGAAGAGATCAATGGATGTCAAAGTAACAACTACTTGTTCAGGAAGTCATCTCTGTGTGGAAAGGTTTTCTAGGGATGAACATAAGCCTCCCTAATCTTTCCATTTAGAACAACTTGCTTCATATTTGCTTGAATTGTTAAAGTTAAATAAGATATCTGTTTATGTCACTGCATATGATTGTCATTCATGGGGCTCTTCTGTCCAAGGGTCCTGCCTTTATCTAGTTTTGGATGTCCTTTTTTTTTCTTTTATAGAGTCTGATACTTACATTATAGATAGAATTCTCTAGGAACCAAAGGCAAAAGAGGTTATCACTAGGCATGTATGAAGACTGACTTTAAATAGCTTTAAACTCCAATAATTCTGTATGGAGTAGCTATCACAGAAATTCCATTTAGCCAGATAGACCAGAGGAAGTGTATAACATTTGTGATCTTAGAGCAGAGTTTTTAAATGACTGCATTAGAAACAAATGCAGTCATCGCTAATAGTCAACATGGATTTATGAAAAAAAAAGTCATGCCAGACTAATCTGATCGCTTTTTTCGATAGAGTTACAAGCTGGTAGATGCGGGGAATGCCGTGGATGTAGCGTACCTGGATTTCAGTAAGGCCTTTGACAAGGTCCCCCATGACCTTCTGGCAAACAAACTAGTCCAATGTGGGCTAGGCAAAACTACGGTGAGGTGGATCTGTAATTGGTTAAATGGACGAACCCAGAGGGTGCTCACCAATGCTTCCTCTTCATCCTGGAAAGAAGTGACAAGTGGAGTGCCGCAGGGTTCTGTCCTGGGCCCGATCCTGTTCAACATCTTTATTAATGACTTAGATGAAGGGCTAGAAGGCAGGATCATCAAGTTTGCAGATGACACCAAATTGGGAGGGATAGCCAATACTCCAGAGGACAGGAGCAGAATTCAAAACGATCTTGACAGATTAGAGAGATGGGCCAAAACTAACAAAATGAAGTTCAACAGGACAAATGCAAGATACTCCACTTTGGCAGGAAAAACGAAATGCAAAGATACAGAATGGGGGAAATGCCTGGCTCGAGAGCAGTACGTGTGAAAAAGATCTTGGAGTCCTCGTGGACAACAAGTTAAACATGAGCCAACAATGTGATGTGGCGGCAAAAAAAGCCAATGGGATTTTGGCCTGCATCAATAGGAGCATGGTGTCTAGATCTAGGGAAGTAATGCTACCCCTCTATTCTGCTTTGGTTAGACCACACCTGGAATATTGTGTCCAATTCTGGGCACCACAATTCAAGAGAGATATTGACAAGCTGGAATGTGTCCAGAGGAGGGCAACTAAAATGATCAAGGGTCTGGAGAACAAGCCCTATGAGGAGCGGCTTAAGGAGCTGGGCATGTTTAGCCTGAAGAAGAGAAGGCTGAGGGGAGATATGATAGCCATGTATAAATATGTGAGAGGAAGCCACAGGGAGGAGAGAGCAAGCTTGTTTTCTGCTTCCTTGGAGACTAGGACACGGAACAATGGCTTCAAACTACAAGAGAGGAGATTCCATCTGAACATGAGGAAGAACTTCCTGACTGTGAGAGCCATTCAGCAGTGGAACTCTCTGCCCCAGAGTGTGGTGGAGGCTCCTTCTTTGGAAGCTTTTAAACAGAGGCTGGATGGCCATCTGTCAGGGTTAATTTGAATGCAATATTCCTGCTTCTTGGCAGGGGGTTGGACTGGATGGCCCATGAGGTCTCTTCCAACTCTTTGATTCTATGATTCTATGATTCTCATGATATGTTAGTGTGTCAGCTGCGGTGTGTAGCACAAATGTAATGATAAATGCCTGAGTCTATAATAAAATAAGCAATACATCATGTATTTTTTTTAAAATGTAAATGGAAGGTTTCCATGAGATATGTTGTGTCCCTGTACATTTTGTTATTACAATTTATGGATGTGTCTGGTTTAACTTCTGGTTTGCTAGTAAAACTGAATTTCTATATCATGAAATTAATTGAGAAAATTAGTTGTATATCCTATGAAGTATCATACATGTTTAGATGAGCTGATAGATTGTATCTAAAAGGTACCTTTGATAAGAATAAAAGAATCAGAAACATTTACAACATTCATGCATTAAAAATACTTTGTCCAAATTATGAAAAGGTTGCATGCAATGATATTTTTCGTGTTTTCCAAAAATAAGGAAAATAAGGCACTCTCTTTCAAGCTGACTGTTCTTATTTGTATTGACTCAAAAAAGAAACACAGTTACTTGGTTCTTTATAAATGTATCAAGCCAATAATCTTTGTAACAATGTTGGCATCTATGTACTTTCTGGGACATTTTTCGACCAATACCCTCATTTTAAAAAATTAATCATGTTTGCTTATTAGCAATTCCTAGTAATGCTTTGATTGAAATTCATCACATCATGCAGATTTCAACCCAAAACTGAAAGCAAGTCCATAAATTCAAGTAAAAACTAACATCTGAAAAGAACGGAAACTCAAAATAGAAAGTTTTATTAGATAGCGAGAAAGTTTAAACAAGTTAGCTCTAATTAGTTTTGAGACGTTTACATTCCAGGCATTATTTTATGTTCAAATTAGGAGGGAAAACCAGAAGTAGGTGCACAGATTTTGGAGAGTGTTTAATGCCGTCTATTCATCAGATTTATATAGGCATACAGATGGCACAAGTCTTTAATGAGGCTTCTACACTAGTTCTGTAGCATCTGTCCTACTTGCAGGCAGATCAAAACAGCATTTATTTGCGAATGCTCAACCCACTTCCATAAAAGCAGACAACTTAAGACAAGTACAGTCTGAGACTTGTTTAGTGATGCTTGGCTTTCGGCTGTTTAGAAAACTATACACATAAAAAGGATCTGTCACATCTTTTGAAAGAGAATGCATCTCCTCCTCCCTCCTCATACAAAAATGCTATTATTCAACAGGAAGCCTTCTAACAAGATATCTATAAACCGGAGTGGTATAATTTCTACCATTCTAGAAACAATGGTACTCAAAAGAGTTACAGACTTCAATGATATGAAAAGAGGAAGAATTATGGAAACAGTCCTGGAATTTATTGGTAATCTGTTTTGTTTGCTGTCACAAAACAAAGCAAAAGCCTGTCAATATAGGAAGGAGAAAGAAAAGACCTGCAACATTTCTGAAAACAGCCTTTGAACAAATATGTTTCTAACTTACCGTCACAGACTTCAGAGTCATTCCGTGATAGGTGCCCATTGTGTCAATCTTGAAACCTTCCGTTTCTGTGAAAATAAAAAAAAAAAAATCTTGTAAGTAAGCTCATATAGAGATATATGATGGACTTGTCAGATGGTAAGTAAAGGTATTAAAACTGACGTGTGTTGTGAACTATTCTTAGATTTTAAAAAATTGGGGTAGATAGATAGACAATACAATTGCATATGAAGGAGAATAATCTATTAGATGATGAAACCTCTTTAAATACAGGGTGAGGCAGCATAACAATCCTTTTTTAAAATGTGTGCCATTCAGTTGGTTGAAGACGTAGCGGAGTGCTAGTGGTCTCATTTGAGAGGTGGGAGTATAAAGTTTTGTCCTGCCACAGTTCAGTTGCCATCATGCATTGAAATAGTGAGGAGCGTGCTTTTGCCATTGAGGCCTACTTTTCGAGCAGATTTGGAGTGGCCGGCCCACTCTCCAAATTTGGCCCCTTGTGATTTTTTTCTATGGGGTTTTTGAAATCCTGTGTTTATGTGAATTGTCCAAGGACCCTACAAGATTTGAAGACCGACATCCAGGAAGAAATTGCCAACATAACACCTATGCTGGCAAGAGTCATGACAAATGCCAGAAATCAATTTACTCGGTGTATAGAGAATGGGGGACGTCACCTATCTAATTTGATCTACAAAACTATGTAAAACAAAACTTTAGGTATGCGCCTACATTATTAAAAAAAATCTGATTCATACAATGGGTTTTATTAAGTTTTGAAAAAAGGAAGTTATGCTGCCTCACCCTGTAAAACAGCCTCGAACTATTTGGAATAAACAATGCAGTACTGAGTGATTCAGATAATTTATTTTCTTTTTCTTGCCCTTAAGTCTCAATGTGGGTCTCAAACTTCATGAAGCACCAAAACAGAAAAGCACACCAAGAATAGATTACGAGTTGTCTGTAATGACCTCTCAAACTCTATGAGATGAGATACTTATAAGAAGCATACAAAAGATAGTCCCTGTCTCCTCCGGACATCTTTTGTAATGACCCCTACTAAGAAATTATGGAAATTAAAAGTAAGCAACACATCCCATTCTTATTTAACTAGCTCAAGTAGTAGTAGTAGTAATTTTATTGATTAGCCCTTAGGCCATATCACAATAAGAAACAGAACAACAAGGCCTGACAAGACCTGATCACACTCCACATAGTAAGTTAAAATAAGACACTTATAATAATACAGTAAATACATATGATAAGACATGATAAAACTAATAAACTGATCAAGCTGAGTATATACATCATATTTCATTATCACCTCTACAATTTACCCCAATCAGCCCTACATATGTGGTTCTCAGACGTATTGTTTTGCTTAAGTACAGAGATGTTTTATATGTTATTTTTGGGTCTTGGCCACACATAAAATATGTTGTTCTGATGTGAGAATCCCAATACATTGTCCGTTTGATATATGGACCAAGTCTTATTCTGGTTATGATGGGAGGGCTAGTATTCCACATATTTTATCTCCGACTTCAAGTTTAAAAATAATTCTATTTCTTTGCAAACTCTGATGTGAATATTAGGAGCTCTACATCTTGTACTTGTGTCCTGTATCAAATAATATTTGCATTAAAGCATTATTCTTATTTGCCCATTGAGCAAGCTAAATAAAGAGGAGGATTGTTTCTTGAACATGATAGATAGGAGTTGTAGAATTAAGCTTTTGTTTTCTTTACATAGAATCTTGAGGCAAGGTTTATGCGTGCGTCTCTTGTGGGGAAAAAAAGATCAAAGATTTTGCACACTGTGAAAGTATCATAAGTTGCAGCAACTACAGAATACCCCTGGCTAGTGTCTGACATCCACAGTTAAACCATCTCAAGTAACAAGGCTGAGAAATGTGTCTTTGATGGACACCATAGAGAACCACTGTCAGAGTCAACAGTGCAAGATCAATGACTGGCTTAGCTCAGTACAAATGCAGTTTCATAGGCTTGTATTTCCTCCGGTTATATGTTTTATCAGTCACTGCCTTCTGAAAACAATGCATGTGTACAGTTCAGGTAGCTTTCTTTACTACATATTTTAAGACAGACAAAATTAGGAAGCCTGAAAAACAAGCATGCACTATTAAAACCATGACAAATACAAGCATGCCTCAAAATAAAGATTAGATGTTACCATGAATAAAACTGCGAGTGCATTCACATTAGCAAGCATTAAAATGTAAATGGAAAAATCAATTGTGATGCATAAGGGCAGGAACTTATTATTAGTTAAAATCAAGAATAGGCTGGAATCTCTGGGGGATAACGTTAAAACTGATTCTCTAGTGTGGTTCATATAATTAACCTCAACAGTCAAAACACTATTTTCTGAAATCCTGAAACAGACATCCCTAATAACAGTTGTCTATAAGCCAATATAGTTGATTTGTCTAGCTATATGGTGACCACACAGCTATAATACTGGGTTATGGCTACTTTTGCCTGTTTTCTACTTTTGCCTGTCCTGACAATACCTCTTGAAGCAAGCCTTCGACAATACAAGTGTTCAGTGTTGTGAAAGGAGCAGACATGCTGCAGCGATCTTCAACCAGCTGTCACAAATATACACTGACAGTCCTCTTCAGTAAAACCAGAACTACACTACTTGATAAGGAACAAAACCATATTCTTCCAATGTGAAGGGAAAAAAATGTTAGGCATTCGTTTTTCATGACATTTCCTTAAAACGTACGCTTGGCTTTCTAAATACACTTTAAGAAAAGCTATTCACATCTTAGGACAATGGCATACTGAAAATAAAGAATAAAAAGTACAATAATCCTCTTTAAACAATGTACCTCTTTCAGAACTCCATAAAAGATAATATAGTTTGCAATGGAGTACACTAGAAGTGCACATGGAAAACAAAACCTATCAATATGAATGACAGAATCAATATGAATGACAGTTCATATTGATACTGTCATTCAATAAACAGCAGGATTATGAAAATCAGTTTTGAGGGAAACATTCAGAAGAGCAAACTAAACTTTATCCACATGTGGTGGAAATGTAAAGTAGTCAAAACCTTTTGGCATCAGATCCACAAAAAAATCAAGTTAATTCTACAGTTTAAATTCGATCGTAAACCAGAATATTTCTTATTGGGCACCACAGATTTTGACATAGATAACAACACAAACAAGATATTCTTCTATTTAGTTACAGCAGCTAGAATCAAATTAGCACAATTTTGGAAAAACAAAGAAATACCCACGATAGAACAGTGGTTAGTAAAAGCTCTAGATATAATGAACATGGACATATTAACACAAAGGATGACACAAAACACAATTAAAACAAAAGTGACGAACTGGGATAAACTTCTAAATTTTCTCGAAAAGGAGAATAAGGAAATAAAAATCTCAAAGTTAAAAATGTGTGAATAAGAAATGAGAAAGAGGACATTTGTCCCCAAGGCGAGAGGAATGGAAGACATACTGTCTTGACATTCAAGAGTAATATTTGACCTGGGAAACCTGGAAGACGCCACACCGTCAGAGATCAGTTCTTGGATCATCTGTCCATCCATCCCCTTTCTCCCCTCTTCCTCCCGCCCTCCCTTTCCTTTTCCTTTTTTTTAATCTTATTTTTTTTTACTATTATCATTGACTTTCTCTTTGCAACTACTTTGCACTGTCTAATCCGCACATATTGTTCCTCCACTTTCCATGTAAACGGATTTTTCTTCTATTTGCATTTTTTAAGGACATTATAAAGTCTGATCACCTTTCTATCTCGCTCCACTCTTGAGAGCACCTATTCTAAATAAAAAATATATATTAAAAAGGAAACTAGAAAATGGTTCTTTAACTCTAGTTGTTTCATGACACATTTTTTGCTGCACCTTCAAAATACTTCTCAGTTTTACTTGCATGCAGAATGTGGATTACATTCTGATGGATCCAGGTTAGACAAAGAAGCCTAAATATTACCATGAATCTCAACTAAAGTAGTTAAAGTGGCAATCGAATTGGACAATGCTTGAGAATAATGAGACGCTGATGATGTTGATTTTATTGCTTTTGTGATGTCTTATACTGTTTAATGTTTTTATCTATTATGTTTTATGTATACTGATTTGTTGGAAACCACCTTGAGTCGCCAATTGGCTGAGAAAAGCGGTATACAAATGCAGTAAATAAATAAATAATAAATAAATGGAAAAATTGGAAAGCAAATGCTTCAGTTATGTTCCACTCACTGAAAGGATCATGTACTCTACCTAGGACTAACAATTGGATTTACTCCAATAAGCCCTTTGAACCATCTGGCCTTCCGTACAACTGCAGTAATACCAACCTAATTTCAAGCCATGGTTCTTGAAGTTGAGCAGTTAAGAGTCAATCACAAAAGATAAAACAGTAATGTAGAGGTGACAAAAGTAAAACTACTGACTTCAATGAAGACTCTGTACAACCTGTGGCCTTCCAAGTGTTTTTAAGCTCCCAGAATTCTTGACCATTGCACAAGCTGGCTAGGGCTTCTGGGAGTTGGAATCCCAAATGCCTGAAGGGCCAGAGGTTGTGCAGATCTAAACCCTCCAACCCTAGCCCTCCCCCTTTTATTTTAAGGCAAAAACCCACCCTAAATTGGTTACCAACAGCACCAAAATATGATGACTTGTATTTTAGTATCCTCTTTGGGCACCTACGAGCCCCACAAGATTGAAAATGCTAGATTAAAAAACAAAAATAGTTTCAAGCCACATTTTCAATTCCAATTGTGGTGCTGTGATGCACCACATGGGACAAAAATTCTTGCCATTCCCACTGCATTTCCACAAACCTGCTTTTAAATATCATGTCTTGGTTAAAGATAAATGTCTCCATGGATTTCTCATGGCTGAATACAATATTAAAGCAATTATCTTTTAAAACAACAACCATTATTCAGGGCAATTAGAGCCCTCTAACAATGGCTCATGTAACAATAAATTAAAATAAAAATAACTATCTGTAATACTATAAAACAGGGGTCCTCAAACTTTTTAAACAGAGGGCCAGGCCACAGGCTTTCAAACTGTTGGAGGGCCGGATTATAATTTGAAAAAAAAAAATGAATGAATTCCTATGCACACTGCACATATCTTATTTGTAGTGCAAAAAACACTTAAAAACAATACAGTAATTAAATTGAAGAACAATTTTAAAAAATATAAACTTATTAGTATTTCAATGGGAAGTGTGGGCCTGCTTTTGGCTGATGAGGTAGTGTTGTTGTTGTGTGCTTTCAAGTCGTTTCAAATTTAGGTTGACCCTGAGCAAGGGCCAGGTAAATTACCTTGGAGGGCCGTATTTGGCCCCCGGGCCTTAGTTTGAGGACCCCTGCTATAAAATATGAGCACAGAACTACAAAAACATACTATCTAAAGCAGGCAAGATAATGTCATCATCTTAAAACCATCCTTCAAGATGCCGGGCAAAAACCTGTTAAGAGGCGTATACTATTCCCAACACAGCTTTGCCTTCAGTTCTTTTGGGTTTTAAAAGGCAACTAAGTCTACTTACAGGACTGCTGTGATGGCAAGTAAGAATGATTTATACATTAGTGTTTTACAAACAAAGAGATAAAAGCAACCCATAAAAAGCAGAAGATATATTCTCACCCTTCTGAACTTCTCACTTTTTTCTTTGATAGACCCTTTTTAAAAATATCTATCTATACACTGTTGTCACATTAACACCTCCTGGTTCACATTATTTTAAATAAGGCTTACACAAGAGTAGTTTTTATACTAAGTTCCAGAGGATTTTGTCCTTTTGGCTGCACAAGTTTGTTTAACAGTGAGACAAAAGAAGAATTTGTTTCAAATATGATTCACAAGAGTTCGCCTCTATATTATACTTTATTTAAAAAGAGCTTTTATCAATTTCATTAGTGCTCTGTATTTGTTTTTATAGTAATGAGATTACTGTGTGAATATAAAATCAACGTGCTGCATATATCTACAATTTGCTTTTTCATTTAGCTGTACTTTTCCTGTGCTTCAATGAATACAAATTAAGCACAGAGGAAGGCTGTTTCTGAACTGTGAGAATAAACAATAATATGAAACACACAATGTTTCCATCTCAAACTGATTTTTCTAATTATTTCCCCTCTGTGCTTTTGTGCAGAAGTGACAACTGAAACACATTTGTAGATTGCTGTTCTCTCCCCCCCCCCCCCCCCCCCCCCCCCCCCCGGGATCCTTAAAGAACCTCTTCCAATAGAAAAACTGCTTATTCCATTCTAGAGTAGAGGGGGGTCATTGCTTCTTTTAGGTTCTCCTGTGATGAATTCAGTCCTTGTCTTTTGCAACTCTACTAAGAGAAAGGGTTAATTCCATTTTTTGAAAAGAGCTAACATATAGTACTTACACTGACCCATGAATGAGTCGATGCAGGTTTATTTTTAATGACAATTTCTAGACTTATATATTGAATATGTAGGGTACATTATCTGTCTAACCCTCTCCCATCAACCATAGGCAAATCTCCAGATCCAAAATATACACCAAGCAGGTTGCATCAGCATGTTTCAATATGCTTCAATGTCACTTCTAATCAACATTTTTTGCTATTTATTTTCCTTTGGAAAATATCCCTGCCCAGACATTCAAAAAGGTCAGGAGTGGTACAGCCAAGAAAGTAGAGGGATTTGATGCTTTTAAAAAAGTTCTTATGGGATGGACTACGTTCTTGCCTTCCACCACTCGACTCGGAGGAGGAGATGTTCCCTTTTCAATACGAATTGAGGTACAGTAGTGACATGGATAAGTTGGCCCAGGTTTTTTGTGTTGATTTGTTTACTAAAATTTCTAAACTTATACATGAGTAGATATAATAGGTGGTTTTGGCCCATGCTCTCCTGTATGCTTAATAGAATGGAACATAACTATACAATTAATTTTCCTTTCTCATTTAGTCTGTGAGAGAATAACACAAAGTATGTGCAAAAGTAATGTTCACATTTATGATAGATGATAAAAACTGTTATAGTTCTTTACATGAGCTGGAGAAAACCTCTCTACTAAGTAGGAATTAAGATCTGCAATGCCTTCTCAAGGTAGAGGAGAACATTCAAATGGTAATCTGATCAAAGCCCTTTGCCATTACATTAAGGTCTAGTGTCAAAGAAGTCACTTATCTCCAGCTGAGAATGCAAGGCGCTCACAGAAAAGCCACCCTTTTCAACTACGCTAAGGGAATATATTCACTTAACCATCATGCATAATTACCTAGTGCATCTTAAGATTTCAATTTCTTGTACTTGGGACAAAAATGAGACAAAAGAGACTGATACAACATTAGAACTACTGTGACCTCCCAGTACAAATTCAGATGTTATTCCAACTTATCCCTTCTCTTGGATCAGAATAGCACCAACATTTTCAGGAAAGAGAACAAACTTTCCTTACAAGGCATTTGTAAGTATATACAGTTAACGTACAGTATGTGCTATGAAAAAGTCAATTTTAGCATGATAATTGGAACTGGCACAGGATTCCTGAAGATCAAGAAGACTAAATATTGTCCACATGGATGGACCGAGGTATCACAAATACAATGGCAGACAGCTTTTTGACAAAACATTCTGATCTCTGTCACAAAACAAAATGGTGACAGTCTACCTGGCAAGAACCCTTTGGAAGAAACACATAAAAAAGCACATTATATATTGAAATGTTATATTAGTGATCACTGTATTCAAGTTATTTCACAACTGGGAAAGACAATTCAGAAGGAAACCATACATAAAGCATCAGGCTTGGTCCTTTAGTGAAGTCACCAGGGGAAGAAAGCAAGCTTGATTCCACCCATCTGATGCTGTTGACTTATCAATTTACTTTCTTCTACATAGGTTTTTTTTTTGTCATGTCAGGAGCGACTTGAGAAACTGCAAGTCGCTTCTGGTGTGAGCGAATTGGCCGTCTGCAAGGAAGTTGCCCAGGGGACACCCGGATGAATTGATGTTTTTATCATCCTTGTGGGAGGCTTCTCTCATGTCCCCGCATGAGGAGCTGGAGCTGATAGAGGGAGCTCATCCGCCTCTCCCCGGATTCGAACCTGCAACCTGTCAGTCTTCAGTCCTGCTGGCACAGGGGTTTAACCCACTACACCACTGGGGGGTCCTTCTACATAGGTGATTTTTATGAATATTAAAAGGTAAAGCTATGCATTTCAGAGCACTGCTGCAATATGGATCAAAAACAAAACAGAATCCTACCATACTGGAAGAGGTAATAAAGGGATCTGATCTTATTGACAAATATTCCACAGGAAGCTCGGATCTCTGCTCATGTGAGTGTTCATATATGTGGATAAATACACACAGGTTCATTTAATAAACTAGAAGTCTTGCCTCTGCCCCAATCCATCCAGCCATCAAAATGCTACCTTATGATTTTATATTGGAAATGTTTAAATACAGTGCACACTTTCAGCTAATACATGCAAACGTGCATCCAGGTGACATCAGATTGATGTCTGATTGCTAATTAAGACCAGTGTGGAATTTATTATTTCTGTTTCAACTTCTTCTCTTTCCCCATGCAATATTGCATTCATTAAAATATTATTTCAGCTTCAACACATGACTTAAGCCACAAAATGAATAATTCAATAAAAATATAGATGAGTACTCAAATCAGCTTTGAACATAAAAACAGATTTTAAAGCAGCTTTACAAAAATATACTATCTGAATTAATTTGTATGAAATCAGAGAATCGTCATTTTAAAAAAACATTAAAATGCGGCATAGCTGTAAGACCTGGATAAAAATGAAAAAAATATTTTGAAGTGCAAAAAAGGGGCTATGGGCAACAAATATCTAGTTATATTAGTTATAAGTCTTTACTGTTTTTACCACTTAATCCCATTTTCCACTTGAATGTTTGGTATGTCATAGAGAGAAGAGTTATTTTTATCAGACAGTTACCATTTCCAAAAAATTACTTGCACTTTGTCAAAAGCTGATGTATTCTGCTTAAAGGTTTGCCAGTGTGTATTACCATGCTCTGTTAAGCCCACAGGCCTTTTTATTCACTTGATATGAAGCTGGAACTCTGCTTTTTTAATCTTTGAGGACACCAAATCACTTTAGAAAGGATGTGACTATTTCCTGTTAACAAAGCTATTACTAGCTATATGGGGGGGATACACTCTGCAACTCAATCACTATCGTTTTTTTTTCCATTTGCAGAGAAAAAAAAATAGCAACACAGAAAGCACATAGTTCTCAGCCTCAGATACATGCAGTAATCTACAGAGAAGCCTGCAGAAGAGAATCGGGCGGCAGTGATGGCAACGCCAGAATCTACAAGAGGTGACATTGGCTTGCTGAACAACCATTGTTAGCACCACATTTGGCTTTCCCCAGAAATCCCTAGATGGCTCATAGTTCTGAAAATTCTGAGTACATGGCAACAATACATTTGATGACAACACCAAACTATAGGGAAAATGGACAGAAGTAATTTACACCTGCAAAAAATACTTCCATTCTTCAAACATTTATCCAAAACAATCTTCTGGGTGTTTTACCATGGCATTTTGGAGGAATATGCTTTTCCTTCAAGGCTTTTAAAAGAAAACAGCAGAAACTACCACATTCCCTTACAGTACACAACTTTACTGTCAGGAGTCAACGTTGCATATTCCTGGTCCCTTTTATGTCAGAGCTTCTTAAGTCCATGGTAGCTCACCAGGTCATCTTCATTGTAAATTATTCAGCTGCTTTTACTGTAAGTCTCTCAGAGATCTTACAATTCGAGACTGGACAAAAAGAACACAAATAAAAAGAAAATAACACTTACCTTCTTTCCCTTTAAACCTTTCTTGATCGTATCTGTTGTATGCAGCTGGAATAGGCTGCTTGTTCCTTAAGGTGGGATCCTGAAAATAAAATAAAATTGACTTTTGTGGATTGCCTTCATTTGTCAGTTTTTTCCAATTGCATTTAGGTTTTGGAGAGCAGTGTATGTGAAACTAACAGTACTGATAATATACACTTCATTTAAAACAATTCATTAATTCCCTATTCTGAACCTATCATGCTATCTAGGCTTCGGTAAGTCAACTTAACAGTCAAGGACAGGACTGCACAACCTATGGCCTTCCAGCTGTTTTGGCCTTCAACTCCCAGAATCCCTAGCCAGCTTGTCCAATGGCCAAGAATTCTGGGAGTTGGAGGTCAAAACAGCTGGAGGGTCACAAGCTGTGCAAGTCCGATCAAGCAGGTTCCTATGTCCTTGCAAAAATATTGAGCAACTCACTTTCCTCCTCCCTTGATGTGAGAAAAGTGATCAGAGATTATCTGGGTAGCTAAATGACAATTTCTACTTCTTTCCAGCTCCAAAGATGAGAAGAAAACATGATTAGTACCTACATGCTCCAGACAAAGAGCATATGTACCCAGTGCTCCAATATCTGTCTTTTGTGTTCTTGAGAAACAAAGGGCTTCAACCAACCTTTGGGATCTCTATCACCTGCAACTGCCTGAAGTGTGTTGAGTGCTTAGAGCAGTGGTTCTCAACCTGGGGTCCCCAGATGTTTTTGGCCTACAACTCCCGGAAATCCCAGCCAGTTTACCAGCTGTTAGGATTTCTGGGAGTTGAAGGCCAAAAACATCTGGGGACCCCAGGTTGAGAACCACTGGCTTAGAGGCACTTGGAACTAAACCAAGTGTTTTCCCCAAACCATTCTAGTAACCAATATGGTCTGAGAAAAAGAAGAGAACCCCATCAGCTACCTGTTAGCATAGTCCACTCATAGCTTATGTCAAGTTTTCTCAGAGTGATGGTCTTTGGACTAGTACCAATCCACATATATTTTTCAGGAAAGAAACAAACAATTGTAGTCAATGGACATAAACATGGTACTGGTCCTTGGTATTTTAGGGAAGAAAACGCCTATAGTTCTTTCACATCAGACATCCAATGAAACATTGGTTTAAATGATGTTATGGTTTAAATATGTATACAGATTCTGACAAGACTGAGTGATTTATTGTTACGTATATTTTGAATTGAGGAATACAGATTAAGTACAAACTTGGATGGAAAAAGAAGCTTCTCCTCCTAAATATATTTTAATGCTGTCAACCTAATGGGGCACTAAATTCCCATTTATCAATCTTGCATAAGCAATTTATTCACACAGTTTGTTTCAATCATTCAAAATTGTGTATCTTTAAAAGGCCCATTCACTTCAGTGTTAAAGTGTTTACCGCAGTGGTGGAAGTCTTGCTATTACACATAAATACAAAGGGGAAAGTGCACCAGATTCTGGAAAAAAAATGAAGAACGTGAATTCTAAGGAGGTAGGGGAGAATCTGAGCCAAAGCCAAGTACCGTGAATGGTTTGGAACAACTGTCTGCTCTTGGTTCTTATTTTGGGCTTAATAAGCAGGCAGATGACATGGTGAGATGAAAAAGAAGCAATGGAGATCCAATAGGTAGGGGATAAGCTCCAGCAAAGTCACAAGCAGAATGCCATCCAGATTGGTAGACACTTAAGGTCTGCTCTGTAAGAAAGCCATTATACTATCAAGGTGATAACTTCATTGTACAACGAATTCTCAATCAAGTTTGTTCCTATATCAAGGCAGTTTGTATAACAAAAATGTTACTCTAAGTAGACTTGTTATTTGAACTTAAGTTGATTTGAAGACTTGAAAAACAGTTGTACGTGGCTCATACAAACTAAGGACCCAGCTACCTTCTGGCACATTATATCATGTACAGTTAATTATGTCCGTCCCCCCATGGAAAGCAATATCTCCCCAGGGTCTGGGAAGCATATTTTCGGGATATATATAAGGATCATTCTGGCGGGAATGCCCATTCCATTCTAGGTTCGGAAAATCTCCCGACATGGCCTGCTGTCACTTTGACAGAGTTCAAGAGCCTTGTCAACCAATTACAGCAGGGGAGGCCCCAGGAGAAGATCTCATTCCCTCAGAAGCCATCAAGAATAACCTAGAATTTTGGGCCCCTATTTTAGCATCACTTTTCACCTGCATTGACAACTACGGTCAAATTCCCAAGGACTGGGGGATGGCAATCATCGTCCCCATATAATAAAAACAGAAAGAGACGATCCAGCAAATTACAGGCCTATCAGCCTTCTTAACACTATCAGTAAAATTTATGTAAGACATCTAAAAAGGAAACTGCAGGATTTGGTGGATCAAGAAAGTATATTAGTTGACGAACAAGGTGGATTTAGGGAAGGACGGTCTACGGTAGACCATTGTCTAGTATTCCAGCATCTGATAGAAAAATATACCACCATCAGCTCTGCATCTCTGCATGTGGCTTTTATAGACTTTAAGGCTGCCTTTGACTCCATCTCTAGGACTAAGCTATGGGAAAAATTAGAAGGCAGCTCAATCGACAGATGGCTTCTCCATCTTATCCGTCAACTCCATGAAGGGACATCTCTCAAAATAAGATGCAACCCCCACTAACGCAGTTAGAACAGAGAAAGGAGTCAAACAAGGCTGCATCTTAGCCCCATCATTATTCACCTATACATCAACTCTATGGTGGACCAATTGCACATCATGGACTTTCACCCTCCAAAACTCGTGGGGAGACATATCTCCACCCTACTTTATGCTGACAATGCAGCTCTGGTTTCAAGAACACCAATAAGCCTCAAAAGAGCATTGAAAGAATTGGCACTATATTGTAGGGAGGATCAGTTACAACTTAACTACCAGAAAACAAAAATCATGGTGTTTGCCAAAAGACCTAATCTTCATCACTGGAGTGTGGATGGAAATAAAACTGAGAAGGTCCCATGTTTCAAATATCTGGGGGTAGTCCTCCACTCTTCCAGCAACAGAAAAGCACATGGAGTTTATGTGGCTGAGAAGGCACAAAGGAGTCCATCTGTCATACTAAAATACCTGAAGTCAAAAGGGGGAAACTTTATACCCGCAGCACTCAAACTTTTTGAAGCCAAATCTATGGTGCAACTCCTCTATGGTTCTCAGATTGGTCCCTTTTCTGACTTCACCCCACTGGAGACTGTTCAATCCAAATTTTAAGATCAACTCTCCAGGTACCAAGGTGTGTCTCCAATGCCACCCTACACCTGGAGACTGGTTCCTTGAGAGTTGAGAACAGGGTGTGGGTGGTAATATTGAAATACTGGCTCAGACTATCCCTCTCTCCTTCAGGCCTTGGACCTCTCATTATGAATGACAACTTTTAATCCAGCTGACAAAGGGAGATAGTAGGCAAAATTGCATTTCTGGGATATAACCAAGCCAAATCCCAAATCAAACAATGAATAACAGATGTTGAGCATCAAACAGCTCTATCTAGCGCCCTATCCTTTATTACCAATGCAGACAGTAGGGGCTGTACCTCCCCTATGGAATATCTTACTGTGTTGGAGGTGGCCAGCTATCGGAGAGCCTTCCCCTTGGCACAATGCCATGCGCTTCCTTCTGCCATACCAGAAGGTTATTACCAGAAGACCCCGTACTCTGAAAGGCTATGTCCCTGTGACTCAGTCACACAGGAACAATGGAGAATCTGCTTCTGCAGTGCCTGTTTTATAGAGACATTTGATCTCATCTCATCTCACCATGGACAATTAAATACTCAGGACACTCTGGACAATTCTAAGTAGCCCTGCTGCTCTCAGGTTAGTTTAATGTTTTTCTTTGAAATACGGTAAATATTCAAAAACATTTGACCTACTGATGCCTCAATTAATATAATTTTGTTGGTATCTATTTTTATTTTGAAATTTACCAGGAGCTGCTGTATTTCCCACCCTAGCCTTATACTCGCATCAATATGTTCTCCCAGTTTTTTGTGGTAAAATTGGGTGCCTCAGCTTATATTCAGGTTGGCTTATACTCAAGTATATACGGTAAATAGAATAACCAATACTGGAAATACCTTTTGTTTCAAATACACCTAAAATGTAATTTTTTTAAAAAAACCTTTCTTTTTTTTTTCTTTTTTCTCCTCTCTTCTAATCAGGTCAGTTTATTCAGTGTTGAGGAATGTTAGGAATTAGTCTTACCACTGGTGCTGTATTCGGTGCTGGTCTTTGTTCAGGTGCACGGCCCTCTTCTCTAGCTTTGACTGACTGAAGGATTGCAAATATGTTCTTGGCAAAGTTCTAGAAAAAAGAGAGAGATTAATTTTAATATTGTATTATCAGTGGCATATGCTGCTTCAAAAGTAACTACAAGACACAAGCGTACTATGCGAATATACACACTCGCATATACATACAGTCAGGCCTCCACATTTGCTGGGGTTAGGGGCATAGGACCCCCAGGAAAATGAAAAATTACAAATAAAGAAATATTTTTTTCCTGAGAAATTATCTCCCTAGGAATATCTGGGTTCTCTAGCATGACTCACTGGAAAGTGGCCAGAGAATCACATTGGAGGATCTAGATATTCCTAGAGGGAATATTTTAAACAAATCGATGAATAATCAAATTTTTCACAAGTCAGAATCACAAATGTGAAGGGAAAACCATGTGTGTGTACTATACTAGATAGATAGAGACATACATATATCCTCTGAAGTCAGAATATGCATCCTACAAGCTCAGAAGTATAGCTAGAAGACACATTAAGAATGATCAGTCATGCTTCTGTCCAAGTCACAGATATTTTACTGCCAATCCCTTCTCCTTCCATCTGCACCTCACAATTCATATGTTTAGTCATTTTCTAGCACATTTGCACAGAACAAAAGGATAAACATAACCTTTAATATATTTCCAATTGCCTGTGTGCTCTGCTTCAAATGCCGCACTTTTGTGTATTCCTTCAGAATCTCTCTTCTCTGCATTTCCAGCCCCAATATCCAACAGTTGAGGGAATATGTTTTTTGTCAATTTATGCAAGTGGATTAAAATCAGGTGTAATGTTTGCAGTGACCCATGTATGTAAACATATATCCCCTCAAAAAGCATTACACTCCACATTCTGTTGTCCAAAATAGGATTCATTAGTAATACTGAACCCTGCTCAATGTCTTAACAAAACCAATAGAGCAGTGGTTCTCAACCTGGGGTCCCCAGATTATTTTAGGGCTACAACTCCCAGAAATCCCAGCCAGTTTATCAGCTGTTAGGATTTCTGGGAGTTGGAGGCCAAAAACATCTGGGGACCCCAGGTTGAGAACCACTGCAATAGAGACTTCTCCCACTTTTTGTTGCCTTGCTTTCCAGTGATGCCCTCTCTTTCAGAACTTTCAAATTCATGAAATGTAAAGAAATCTTGTCTGTCCCCACATTCTGTTTATCAGGAAATTCCTGAAATCGGGAGGGGGAAAATATCGTTTCATGATCCGTCAACCAGCAGTTCTGTTTTTGCTCTGGAAAGATTGGCCCATTGGTGACAATGGGAGAAATGATGAGGTTCCTTTTTCCATCATTCTTATAGCTTTCAGAACAACAATGGCCACAGTTGGAGGACACATTTACCACTCCAAGCCCTTCAAGTTTCAGAACGTTTGGGTCATCCATTGATTTTTAGGAAATTTTTAAAGTTTCTTCAACTAAAGCGTAGACTCCAGCTCTTTCTGTGAGCACACACACATATGTCCCCAAGAAAAATAGGAGAAAATCAAAGAGGTGAACTAACAAGAAGAAAGTTTTTTTGTAATTTTTAAAAAGTGGGAGGTGGGGCAAGACTGCTGGAATGGTGCAGGAGTACACACAAGCTTTTCCCACCTTTGACAGGGGGAGGAACTTAGGCTACTGGTGCAGGAGAGAGTACAGAAGCCAGAAGGTAGGTCTGTGGACATTCTTCCCTTGAGGACACAAGGGAGACAGGCTATTCCCTAAAACCTATCCCACACTCAGTCAACTTAAAGCAAAAAAAAAAAAAAAATCCTTTGAAAATTAAACAAACACACACAAAATCCCTTTTTAACCTTGCAAACCCCTCCTCCCAAACTCACACCCACCCACTCATCCCTAGCAAAATCACTAGTAAAAGAAAATAAGGGACTATAAGAAAGATATTGTTGGAAACGACAACCTTCTTCAAGCCTTCTCTAGTAATGTTTATCTATGATCCTGTTGCTTGTTGTTTCCTCTATGTATGTTCTGATATGCATCTTCCTTTGCTCTATGGTTCCTGAGAAGTTATAAAAGGGGCTGCAGACCACATGATCACTTCAGGCAGATGACAGACAGACAGACTACTTCAGACCTCAGATCACACACTTGCTTGTTGTTTTGTTGTAAGAGATGTCCTAGCCAGATGACATAGAGAATTATCTCAAAAATATTTGAAACTGGACTGATAACTTTTGTACCTATGTATGCTGAACACATGAAGGTTTGAGTGAACCAAATATGTTATTTTTATCCAAGTCTCTTCATTTTTGTCTCTTGAGTGCATGATATAAAACAAGTTGTCTTGTGAGAGAGAGAGGGCACTAAAAACACTTCTAAACCTCTGCTGTTTTTTATGCACTGGGAAATCTCTGTTTTCCTAAGATCAGAGATAACAGGTTATTCAGTCTAACAACTGAAACCACTGCCTTGCATAATTACATCTGGTTGTATACCATAAGAGAAGAGTGTACTCAAAAAGGTTTTTGGCTCTTCTCTGAAAGGTCATGCTTTTCTAAAAGTTATGATCTCCAAAGGGTGTTTTCCAGAAGGTTATCAATGCCATTTTCCAAGAAAATGTAATACAGAAGAAAAAGGTTGGAATTCTTAAAAAGCGATCCCTAAGCACTAAGAAACAGCAACAGCACTGAGAGAGAACGATTTGTCAAATAACAGGACACCACAGAAAAATGGTGCTTACCCCTATATATATATATATATATATATATATATATATATATATATATATATATATATACACACACACACACACACTAGCCGTCCCCTGCCACACGTTGCTGTGGTCCAGTCTGTGTATATGTGCTTTGTGTGTGTATATTTTTGTATATATGTGTGCTTGCATATATATATATATATATATATATATATATATATATATATATATATGGGTGGGTATATATATGGGTATATGTGTGTATATGTGTGTATATATTTGTGTATTAGTGTGTTTATATGTGTACATGCATATTGTGTAAATGCATGTGCTTGTCTATATGCATATTTGTGTGTACATATGTATGTATGTAAGCCCTGGCCCTTGAGTGCTCCAGCTGGAGGTCAGCTATGACCAGCAGTGCTGTGGAGTTTGAAAAGGCACGAATGGAGGGCGAAAGAGAGAAATGTGCCAAGAGGAAGGGGCGTCAAGCCAACCTCGACCAGGACTGCCTTCCACCTGGAAACCAATCCCCTCATGGCGGGAGAAGATGCAGATCAAGAATTGGGCTCCACAGTCACCTACGGACCCACTGACAGAACACTGACCTTGGAGGACCATAATCCTAGGACTACGAGGGATCGCCAAAGAAGATTTATGTGGATATGTATACATGTGTGTATCTATATATATGTGTGTATATTTGTATGTGTTTGTGCATATATATGTGTGTGTGTGTGTGTATGAATGTATGCAAGTATATGAATGTATGTGTATATGTATATATGGTGTATTTTGGGGGGTTTTAAGTCTGTTTCACTGGGGTTTTGTGTGTATGTGTGTGTTTAGGAGTGATGGACACTTGTTGGCCTGATAGGTGTATTGTGTCCAAATTTGGTGTCAATTCGTCCAGTGGTTTTCGAGTTATGTTAATCCCACAAACAAACATTACATTTATATTTATATAGATACACACACACACACCAGCTTTAGAAAAAGTCATTTGATCTGCTTTCTTCTTCTGATTGGCTCTGTCAAGGCTAACCAGGGGGGCAAGCGGGGGGGGGGGGGGCACACACACAGCTTCTTTTCTCATGTGGCAGCCAGATACAGCCAAAGATTGGCTGCTGAGGAGGCATGCATGTCTGAGAAAAATGACTAACAGCACACTCCAGAATTTACTGGATCGCAGATCCCCGGAAATTGTATTAATTGGAGCCAGTGGTAAACAGGCCAGACGTTGCAGTTCTACAATATCGAACTCCACTTTATTTAAGCTTATTAACATTGATAAAGCGTAACTAAAGTATATTATGCTATTTAAAAGAAGAATATAAAGCTTTTAAAAATGCACATATTTAACCAATCTGTATCAACCCTCAAGATGCACTTCATGCTGAATGGCATATGTACACAACAGATGTCTTCCATTAAAGATAATTTTAAGTAATAATGGAAGCATTCCACGGCATGTACTCCCCATAAAAGATTTGCAATACAAAATGGCTCTCTCCTATTCATTATGGAAACATTAAAGCATTAAAAAACAGATACATACTAAGTATACCTGCTCACAAAGGGCCAATTTAAGCTGCTTTCTTACTTATTTCACCTTGCATGCCACATTCAATTCTGTTCACTGGGCCAGAAAAAAAGGATTTGAAACTACACTAGAGTAACCCATGTGGTACACCTGTAAAAACTGAGCATCCTGCTTTGGTTTCTTCCACAATCTTTTGCCAATGGAGCAGAAAAAGCAGAGGGATTAAAAGAAACACCTAATGCAACTCGTGCGCTTCACTTGAAGAAACTCCAAGTGAACAAGATATTCATATTTATATAGATTACTTTTCTGTGTTAAGCTTCTCAGGGCTACAACAGAAACTTCAGCTAGCAAGCAAGCAACCAGTCTAAGAAATGCATGCTTTCTCCTGTCTATGAGACGGATTTTCCATTTGTCCAATTGCATCTCCCCATATAGACCATCCCATGTACTGCGGTCAGCAGAGGAGGCTCTGCTCTTGGTCCCACCCACGTCACAAGCTCAGTTGGTGGGAAAGAGAGGGGGGGCCTCCTCCGTGATTGCTCCCCGTCTCTGGAACTCCCTCCCCAAAGAAATAAAAACGGCCTCCACCGTCCTCTCATTTAAAAAAACTCTTGAAGACTCACCTTTGCACGCTGGCATATGGAGAGGACAAGGACGAGGACCCTCTAAACCAGTGGTTCTCAACCTTCTTAATGCCGCGACCCCTTAATACAGTTCCTCATGTTGTGGTGACCCCCAATCATAAAATTATTTTCGTTGCTACTTCATAAATGTAAGTTTGCTACTGTTATGAATCATAATGTAAATATCTGATATAC